GCCTAAATTTTAATCCCATATTTTATAATCTACCCCTAGGATCACCTTTCCATCTTAACTTTTACAAGAATGCTAGTGGTTTTACCTGTTTTTTGTTATTGTTCAGTGCTACCTGAGTTTAGCACAGGTCCTGCTCCCTATTAACTTTCAAATGTTAAATGTGTGAGTGATGATGAGTAAATAAGTTTCACACTAATAATGGTGACTTTCTACTAGGAGAAGTATAGAAAAACTCTATTAATGAAAACTCTAAGTATAGAAAACTGTTAATGAAAATTTTCTGAGTAGACCTGATAATGGAAATATCCTTAAACAAGATAAAATTGTCTAAGTAAATGTTCAGTCCTTTTATGAAAATCAATCCTCTATAACTTATAAGGTGAACACTATTATTAATAGGGAGGTTGACATTATAATAAAACGGTAAATCGACCATGTTTGCTGCTCCTGAGTCTGAATATAAGGCAGATTAAAATTTCTGAAGAACCACTAAGAAAATACCTCCATCCTCATTATAAACTGATGGTTTTGCTTATGTCCTGGAGATTTTATACAGCTTGCCTTTGCTTTCTTTCATATAGCTGTGTAATCTTTCTGGCTTTGGGATAGACCAAAGTTAATAGACATCATTTGAAACTGAGCCATATAGTTGAATGTAATTTGCCATAAAGATGAATGTTCTGTAGAGTTCCTCTTTATTTTTTTTAAAGGGACGTGCTTTTCAACATAATGTGTATAATCCCTGCTTCCACACACACACCAGAATAGGATTATGATTTCCCTGATGGAATTACAAAGGTTTGTTCTTACTTTTTGAATGAGCTTAATTTTAGTTTTTAAACAAAATGGTTTATACCTTTTGCCAGTATGCTAGGCCATCAGAAGACAGTACAATCATCTTCAAAACCTGGGTTTAATAGAAGGAAATGTGAGAAAGCATCCAGTAGGTGTTTAGATCTGATTAGACTTTGAGTGGCCCCTTTCTAACAATACAAGGATAATAATTCCTTTGGAATTCATGTTCTTCGTTCCTGTGCAGATTGTCAAGAGCTATTTGAATCCTAACTATATTCCAGCCACTATGTTAGGTGCTACAGTGGATGGAAAAAAGGGTAAAACTCATCAAAGAACTCATAGTTTAGTGGAATGTGTCATGTGTGTACCCAACACAAATCAAGTATCCCTTATCTGAAATGCCTGGGACCAGAAGTGTTTCAGATTTTAGAATTTTTTTTTTTTTTGGGGGGGGGATTTGAAATATTTTCATTATATTTACTCGATGAGCATCAAAATCCAAAATGCTCCAATGAGCATT